ATATGGAACTTGGGTATCATTTATTCTAACTGGGATATTTTCTATTTTTGTTTGTAAACTTAATGTATGCAGGTTTAGTCTCATTTAAAGCCATTTTCTGGTCCAGGTATGTATTTTGTTTACTGATAGTTCCAACTTATCAGCCGCTTCTTCACTAATATCTTCTATCGCTAGTATGGCTGAATAGTGTTTTGTTCTAGCTCTGGAATGTCACACGCATACAATAGGTACAGGAAAGTGCCTAATACACTCCCTTATGGCACGCCAGCTTTGATCTCCCTTAAGTCGGTGTACACTTCTTCTTGTTTTACTCTGAAATATCTATTCGCAATGAATGATTCTAATATTTCTGAATATTGTACTGGCATGAACGTTTTTAGTTTATAGTTTAAACCCCCATGCCATACTTTATCAAGCGCCTGTGCTACGTCCAAGAAGATTGTATAGTAGACTTTCTTTTCTTCTAATGTTTTTTTTATTATATTTGTTATTCTGTGAACTTGATCTATAGTGGAATCTTTATTTCTAAAGCCAAATTGATGATTTGGTATAAGATTTTTTTCTTTCTATTATTGGTTTTAATCTTTTTAACAGAAGTTTTTCAAATACATAGTTTTGACATTACCGGAAGGAGTGATATTGGAATAATAAATAAATAAATATTATTTGATAGTAAATTTAGTTATTATAAAAACTAAATATTATGTTTAAAAATAATAATAGTATTTATATGAAATTATTTGAAAACGAGAATTATTATAAAAATTTAAACAGATGATTCAATGTTGTTAATCAGATGACATTATGACTTTTATTAAATTTTAACAATCGTTACGACTCGAATCTTCTAGTGACATATTCTTTTCTTCTCATTTAATATCTATATTATGTTATTTTTATACAGTTTTCAATTTGAACCTGCTTAGACTAAATATATTAGAATAGTAGAAACAAATTGATGGAGAGTAGTGAATGGATGTCAAGAACCGCTATTCTATTACGATACCCGTGACGACGTCGTCTTGTGGCACTAGTTCTGTGACTCTCTCGTCATCATTTTACTGCAGAAAAAAAAGTAATACAACTCCAGTAATAAAAACAAAAAACTAATATTAAAAATTAAAATGTACAGCTAAAAGAGACTTTTAATACAGATTGATTGTTATACAGTCCGTTAGATCTTTTAGATATGACAAATTTCACATAAACACTAAAAGAAATTCACAATATTTTCAACGACCCGTCTATTTTTCTTCAGTCTATTATATTGCTTTAATAGGAACAACATCTCTAATTCTTTTTAACCTCTTAACAACGTCTCATAACACTCACTAATATATTCCGACCCTGTCTTATCTATCATTGCCAAAATCCCAATTACCGAGACCTGGGAACATCAAACGGACACATTTCTTTCATCGCTAAATATCTCTCTACTCCCTGCGGATAGAAAACAAAACGATAGACACTCCTGAATAAGCACAACTCCCAAAGGAGCCCACGACACAACTCCGGGCTACTTCCTGGATATTGTTTAATCATGGGCGGGTCCGGTGAATTAAGAAATGATATATTTACGAGTAAAAGGAAATGTAAGGTATTAAAAAAAAGTTAAAACAGTTGCTTTTGACGGTTTAAATTCGTACAATATTCTTGTTAACTTGAAATACAGTAAGGTCTTGTTTTATGCGGTGGATATGTTCCACAGAAAAGCGTATATAAAAAATCGCATAAAAAAAGACATTATTTGCCTTGAAAAAGTAGGGATACGTTTTGTAGCCTTCTAAAATTACATAAAACCAAGACAAAAACAAAAAAAATTGCAGAAATTATAAGAAATAGGCTGCATGACAAATATCTTCGAGTATCTGAAAGAAATTCATATAATTCAAGCTACAAAAAACTTTTATACAAAACTGAATTGATTTTATTTCATAGGAAAGTAACAGGTACATATCTTCTTCTAGTGCCATCTCCACTAATAAAGGTTGGTTATAACCATTGCAAATTCATCTCTATCTTCTGGTTTTCTTAAGAGCGTTTGTGTGTTTAACCCGGTCCAGTCGCGAATGTTTTTCAGCCAGGATATTTATCGTCTTCCAGGACCCCTTTTTCCTTCTTCGGTTTTACCCTTCATAATCAACTGCAACAACTTGTACTATTAAGCTGATTAATCTATAGTCATTACAGTTTTTGGAGTTCTTGGTTTTTGGTAGCGGAACAAATGTCGATAACAGCCATTCTGTAGGTATCTCACCAGACTTGTATAGATTTTTAAGGAGTATAGTTTTTTTAACCTATTCTCTATCCTTCCATTGTTGGATATAGGTCTCCCCCAGTTCTCTGCATCTTTCCCTATCTTGAGCTGTTCTCTGCCATGTGGGACCTCCTTGTTTCCTGATGTCGTCTTTCCAACTCATCTGTGGTCTGCCTCTTGATCTCTTTGCATTGTATGGACACCACTTTCCGATGGCATTGTTGCGTCGTTCGTCTTGGAGACGTTCATTGTGTCCAGCCCATTTCCATTTCAGTTTTGCTGCTTGTTCTGTCGCGTCTACTGTCTTTGTTCTGGTTCTGATCCACTGGTTACGTTTTCTATCTTTAAGTGATATACCCAACATTCGTCTCTTCATCGCTCTTTGTGCCTTCCTTATCCTGTCCAAATTGGCCTGTGTTAATGTCCATGTCTGTGCTCCGTAGGTGAGCACCGGTATGATACAGAAGTTATATACCTTGCTTCGTAATTATAGAGGGATTGTTTGATTTTTTAGAACGTAAGAAAGTTTGCCGAACGTTGCCCATCCCATTCTTACTTGTCTCGATATTTCGGCTGTTTGATTTTCTCTGTTAGCTCTGATTGCTTGTCCTAGATAGATATACTCATTTACCTGTTCTATTTTTTCTGTTTGTATTTTTATTGTCTCTTGGTCTTCCGTGTTTGTCATTACTTTTATTTTGTTGAAGTTAATTTTTAGGCCTTTTTGCAGTGATTTTTTATGAAGTTCATTCAGCATTAATTCTAGTTCTTGTCGTTCCGAGGAGATCAGGAGTATATCATCCGCATATCTAAGGGGATTTAGGTACTTTCCGTTCATACATATTCCTCTGTTTTCCCAATTTGTTGATTTTATTATATCTTCGAGGGTCAAGGGTTACCTGCAATATTTACGGTAAAATCTGCAAATATAATAAAACGGTAAAATCTGCAATATTTACGGTAAAATCGATGGATTTTCACAAACTTCATTATCGTTCCGTGTAGCTCTATCTTTTCTGACAATTTAATCAGTAATTAAACTTTGCGATGATGATGCTAGTAATTTTTTATATAGCTCACGATATTCTGATATGCAGTTCTGCAACTTATGTACATTGTAATTCACTCGTAAAGGCTCGTTCAGAATTGGGGTCATTAATAAGAAAATGATTTTCTAATTTATTGCAAAGTTGAAAACGTTTTCAAATTAATTTGGCAGTAAGGAGGGTTGGTTTTTCTTCCTCATCATCTTCTATACTCACGATGCCATCGAATATTCTACGAAGACTTAGTTTGGAGATTCTCATACCTGCCTAAGTTGTTCTCCTCGGTTCATATTAGTTGTCACGCTTGTAACACATCAAACAATGGTGAGTATTTCAGACTCACAAAATGAATGAGGTAACGTTACTCCGAGTCGGAGGCTAAAAACAGGGACTGTTGGTGTTTCTTTTACACTAAAAGATATTTGGTAATTGTTAGTGTTAAAAAAACTTACCTGATGGACTTTATCGGAAAAACAAATGACACTTAGTCACTCATATTGCTTGTCTAATATAAAGTCATGCCGTACTTCTTATAGACCGGTTTTCTACCGAAATTTGTTTATCGTTGGATTGAGATAAGGCAATCAGGAAAAAATTTTATGGGAAATTTTAAAGAAAACAGTTTTAATTACCAGAAAACATTTCTTCCAATAAGCTATACAAGGTCGCATAAAAGTTACTGCTTTCTCAATTAAATGAAATTCTCTTTAGAAGAGAAAAAAAGAAATAATCTCTTTAATAATATTATTTTTACACGTTACAGACTAACTTGAAGACCAATACAGCCTTTGAGTTGAGTTAGAAGGTTTGCTTCCTGTGTTACTTTCGAAACTCTTAACAAAATTAATTAGCAGTCATTAATGAACTAGGTCTGTTTGACAATCCATTTTCATTTAAGTACCAACAATATTCAATAATAAAGCTTTTTCTTACTTTTTAAGCCCCAAATCTTTTTGGTAGGTTATTCGAATAAACAATGTATAGAAATGTCCATAACAACTATTGTTATTAATTTATACTAAGCGCTATTATCCTCCTAAGTCCATATGTTCAGTCAGCTGGACAATGTTTACTAATTTATTACACGGTGGCTATTCGTAAATTCGAAAAACTGATAGTCGAGGGTAGAGTTGAAGGAAAGAGACCTAGGGGAAGATCTCCAAGCCGTTGGGTAGATTAAACAAAAACATTGATTAACCAAGGGTTACATGAAGCCGAACAACTAGTCCAGGACAGAGAAGGATGGAAAGAAATCTTAAAAACACCTCTGTGAAAGCCTGATGGTGTCACCACATCAAAAAAGGGAATAGGACTGAGGAGGAGGAGGACTATTCGACTTGGGCATCGCTGCGTCCTATATTGCCGCATACTGGCTTTCTATTTATCAGTAAAATTTACTCGTTTGAAAAATTTGACAACAGCTCCTACTTCGTGAGTCTATTGTTACACGTGGTGAAACTGGTGAGGTTATTATGGTGGCCCCACAAAAATACAGTAAGTTATAGTATCTGTCTGTTCTTTAAAGTATCGATTCTTTTTATGTTTATGATGTTTGGACATATTTGTGGTAAATACATATTTAAAAATAATTACAACTGGTCACTTCAGGAGTCGTCTGAACTTTTTGTCAAGCAATTTCGACCTTGGGACTTAGCAAAATACGTTACCATACTCACGTTTTTTACGTATATTTACAGACAGAAAAAGGATTATGACAGAACGCGAATTGGAGGCTATTTTGTCAGATAGCGATTTTTTTCTCAGTGAAAATGGCGGTAATGATTGTAGTGAAAACGAGAATGTTTCTGAAAACCTCTCAACTGTTTTTCATGAAAAAAAAACTAATGCCCAAAATCATTTAGAAAATGATTCAGATTCGGAGTGGGATTCTGACAATGATACTCCTTTACTGCTGCGTTGGGAGAAACTCCAGGAAACGGAACAATTAGATAATGTTAAGAATAGGTGGAATAAAAATCTTTTTGAGACTCAAGATTCCGACGCCGCTGATCTATGGACAGCTAATAAAGATCACGAATTCTGGACACCATTGGATTATTTTTCGGAGTATTTTTCTGAGCATTTTGGGAAAATTTGTCTTCAGCAAGTAACATACGAGCTATGCAAGCAAACGAAAAGAAAAATATAAGGTCAACGACGGAGGAATTTAAGAAACTAACAGGTATTTGCCGAAAAATTCTTACATGCGTTGCCGAAACCCTGGATGCACTAAAAAGCCGAAATTCTTTTGTACAAAATGCAAAATATACTGTAAATTATATGAAAGTTAGTCCTGATGTCCATTATGTTGGACCTGTCATATTATGTCTGTCAAATATTTTTTTTTAGTTTTTATAAATTTTCGTTTATTGTTTTCACAAATAAAGAGTGAAAATATAAAATATTGTTAAAATAATCAATACTGTTTTCTTGGGACTGGGGGAGGATACATTTTACACGTTTCCTGATTTCATTGTCCTTTTCTTTTGGCGCATACCTACTGTAGCATATTTCTTAGTGCCGCCTATGCGTTGAACTTTAGACGTTCACTTGCGATTAGCATATTTAGTGTGCACCGGAACAGATATTGTTTTTAGTACAGAAATTCTCCCTGTCTAGCCCACCGGTTAATGGCATACTGCAAAAACACTATTTCGCCGGGATATTTGACGTGTTTAGACAATATTTTCGACTGTTTTGTTGTTACAGCTTGTGAAATTGTTTTCGGAAAATATTGCAAATTGGATGGGATCATGAGAGGTTTCGATGTTGTATGGTAATGCCCGAGGGTTGGGGTATTTTTTAAAATGTAATGATAAACGACTGAAGGCTACAAAAATGTGGAAGTGTACCGCAGAATGAAGCCAAAAACAACAGCCTAACAGTTACTTAAAGCAAAAATTTAAATTATTTTGTACAATGTCATTTAATATGACTTTTAAGTAATATTCTTCAACTATTTACAAATATGGAATTACAAATATTTACTAACACTGGAGTTCCACAAGGATCTGTCTAAGGACCAACGTAATAAAATATTTTGTATAATAAAGTATTTCTTCCTATTCTTCTTCTATGAGTGCCGATTCGTAGCCAAATATTTAGGAGTGTTATGACTCTTCGTACATTATTGGCAGTGGCGCGGAAAAAAATCGCCTTATAAGAAAGGCACCTTTAGAAAAAGAATAATAATTATTTAAGTTATAATTGATCCGGTGAGTATTTCCCATCGAGCAAAAAGACAAAAGAGGGAATGTAAAGGTAGTGGGGGCAAAAATATTGTTAGACAAGAAGTGCGATCTTTAGAGGCTACATTAAACAAGGAAAGAGAGTCTCTCTCTCCTTGTTTGACATCAAATTTAGTTGGGTTATGTTATTGTTTGTCCCAAATGTCACATGAAATCTTATTTATATTGAAGTTTTTTAACAATTGTGTCGCATTTTAGACTATTATCGTTAATAATTAATTAAAACTTTCTCGTCTAAGACACATTCTGAAAAATACTATATAGCTACTGTTAATAAGTGTCGGAAAATTTAAATTTGGCGCATTCGCATTTCCGGATATGTCCACCATCATAGGCCACTTTTTTGGTCTCCCTTTCATAAGGATTAGATTCCCTCTTTTGTCTTTTTGCTCGATGGTATTTCCACAAGCGCAATCATGAAATTTATACGAAATAAATCAAACCGTTTAAGTCAAAGCTTACAATATTATTACCGTAATTTACTTATAAATATATTTTCGAAGAGATCGAATACCAAATCGTTAGGTTATGTTAGGTTAGGTTAGGTTAGGTCAATTTTATTGAAAAAATTAAAACTGTTTTACTAAAATGAAGTTAGAATTTAAATAATACGAAAATATGAATGAAAATTTATATATAAACAACATCTTATCTTTTCTAGAATATGTTAAAACATATAAAACCTTTAAAACTCCTCTATATAAAGTTATTTTCCTATACTGTGTCAACTGTCAACTTTTTTTGTCAATGCACCTCATCATTCCAATCATCGATATAATATATCAAGGATGGAGCCTATTAATATTTTTAATTTTTGGTAAATTTTCTTTTTGGTAAACTAATACATTCATTAAATTTTTAATATTTTGCATCCAGTCACATCAGTGGCAAGGGATGCGCAACTACGTACTTTTCAATATTTAGTTTATAAATGACAAAATAAGTACCAACCTATATTTAACACTCCTCCTCGATTTGAACTTCAATATATTATGTAGGAGGAAAAAACCATGAAAAATATTCTTATAATAATTTTACATCAGTTAAGAAACGCTTGACAAAGACCTTAGATGGCATAATTTTTCTTTTGATAAAGGCTTTGTCAAAATATCTGTAAGATTATTTTTAGATCAAATATAATCAATACATATCTATGAATCGTTTTGAAACTAAATCTTTTATATAATGCTTTTAATGTCAATTTGCTTGCACGTTTAGAATTTTCAAAAGACTGACACATTGCTAATGTACTCAAATTATTAAATAAAAGTTTTGATTTACCCTATACATTAAAATCAGATGAAATACCTTTTAAGTAAATCAGTTTTTTAGCTGAGGTAGCCGCAGCTATGTATTCAGCTTCTGCAGTTGAAAGAAAAAGATTTATTGTCATTCCTAAAAATGTCTTCACTTCACCCAGGTCCTTGGCACAAAAATTGTTTTTTAAAATATCTATTGTTTCTTTTATTTTTTGTTCATGTCCTGTTAATATTATATTGTCCACATAAACAATCACAAATATGTCTTCTCCTATGTATAGACAAAAATTGTGTTTAGATCTAATAAATCCATTCTCTGTTAAAATTTTATTAAAACTATGATTCCAGCATTTTGATGATTCATTTAAACCATATAGCGCTCTATTTAAATTTTAAACCTTTCCTCTGTATATTATTAGTCGTTGTGGAGGATAAATATATTTTTCTGGATCAAATTTTCCGTTTACGAAAGCTGTCAACACATCAAGTAGATATATTTTCCAATCTCTTTGCAGTGCATAAGCCAACATCATTCTCACTGTATTTATTCTTGCCACAGGTGCATAAGTTGATTTTAGTGGATCCTTCCCCTGTACTTGAAAATCCTTTACAACCAACCTTGCTTAATGTGTTCCATCATCTTTAATTTTAAAAACCCATCTTGTATCTCTAATCTTTTTGTTATCAGGTAAATTGGCTGGTGTCCGTGTCTTTAGGTTTTCCAATGACTTTAGTTCTTGATTAATTGCATTATTCCACTCTCCATTTTTCGGCGCTACTTCAAACGTCTCTGGTTTACTATTCAATGATAGTAAGCAATAAGCTAACTATAACTTGTATTTGTTTAAAATATTCTGGTAATTTTACTTCTCTTTCTCTTTTAGTACATATGGGAACCTCTTCATTACTTTCTATTTAATTTCTAATTAATTCTTCGTTTTCAGCTAAACATTAATTTTTGATACTTCCATCTTCAGTACCTTCTATCTATAATAACATCTCTAGATGTAATTATTTTGTTATTTTTACAATCCCACAATCTATATCCTGAATTAGAATAACCTACCATTATTGTTATTGTTGTTCTAATATCAAATTTATTCGGCTTTGGAAGAATCACACTCCATGCTTTAGAACCAAAAACTCGAAGATGATTAATATTATTCTCCCATACAATATCTAATATAGTATTTTACCTGTTTTACCACCATTAGCTGTGTTGTAGAACTCCTGTTCAATGCAGAAGTTGAACATCTCATTTTTTCACCCCATAAATGTTTAGGCACATTAGTTTCTGTTAGTTTGACTAACTTCGTTTATCAATGTACGATTCATTCTTTTAGATGTACCATTTTGCTGTGGTGTGAATGGTTGAGTATACTTCAACTCAATGCCCATTGGTCTACAAATATTTTTAAATTTACATGATGAGAATTCACCCCCATTATCTAGTCTGATACTCTTAGTTTTAACAGTATGCTTAGTTTTAATTAAATTTATAAAATCAAGAACATTATCTTCAGCTTCACTTTTATCTGACATCCCGGAAACAAGATCGGCCATTGTTACATTAGCTACTTTGGAGAATAATATTGTTAATCCATTTTCTAAATATATTTTTCTAGCAATATTAATATTCTAACAGAAAAACTTGATTTATTCAAATACAGTTCAGTCGCAGAATTAAATTCTTCAACAAATCTATTTTGAATTTCTATATTCATTCGCGCTTATTTTCCTCTTTGACTGACAAAGAGGCCAGCAAAATTATTGTGCAGTATGGTTGTGCATATATATTGACCGTAGGGGTGGCTTTAAATTAATTTTACGGGGGAAACTTCGTTATCTCTTACGGAACGAGATACAAGAATGGTATTCATAAATATCTTTCAAACTTATATGTAGAGTAGCCAATTCCAAAGCCTCAATTTTTCAGCCATTGTTATTATTAATATAGCACACATACAATATCTATTTTGCTTGTCGAATAATAGAATAATTCATAATAACACGTAGAAAGCGTTTCAAATTACGTTAAAAAGAAAACAATTATTTTATTTAATACAATTATTTTAATGATTGCGATCTGTCCCACTAGTAATTAGTAGTAGGTACTTCTGCCAGAATAGCATTTACAATAAAAATAAATAATAAGAAGTCGACTGCACATTGTACACCGCGACATATTAGCTTGTGTCTACATCGCAAAACTCTTCCATGATAATCGCGAAAGCGCTCGCTACTAGATGGCACTCTGGAATGTTCTCGTAGCCTCGTTTTGCCTTTATATAAGCGGCGATGCGCAACGAAACCTCAGTTCGAATCCAAACAGCCTATGGTGGCGAATGCGGTGTTGAGTAATGAGTAAATATTTTACGACTTACGTATTCCCGTTTACGTATTCCCGTTTACGTATTTACGTCTACGATAAATTATAAATTATGGATAAGTTTTTAAAAAGAAGTGCAGAACCATCTACGTCTGAAAGTGGTAGTAGCAGCAATAAAAAGAAAAACAGATTCTACATTGATGAATATCTTAAATATGGTTTTACCGTTATTTCTAATAAACCAAAATGTGTTATTTGTG